TAGCAACTTATAAATCACAATGATTCAACCCCTATCGCGTATACTGAATAATAGAGGATTAGCTGAAAACGCTTGCCTAAGGCATAAACTCTAAAGCAGTAATCGGATGTATGTTCACCTGTGTTACGTACTGATTCGCTCATAATGCGGTGCACTTGTGCTTCGTTGTAAGATACGCAAAATTCGTTTTTCAGTTCTGTTGCAAAATCATCCCAGCTAGTGTGCACGGTAGGTAATGGGTCTAACTAGACACGCACCACTCCTTTTAATCAACCGTAAACAGCCAATAAAACACATTTCCCGTTTAGTTGACAAGCTCTCATAACTCCACCTACATGATTAATGAACTGCTGAACAGTTAGCGACTGCTTGTTAGTTGGGTCAAACTCCGGAATCATGTCTCCTATTTCCTTAATTGACTGAAACCCACCATATGCGTTTGTAGAAATTGATGGCGTTACAGATTGACTCACACTTTCACCTAATGGCTGAATTATTCATAGGCGTCTGCACTCCATTTGTGTCAACTGTTTGTTGCTTTCTCTGTTGGAACATGCTGACATTAGTTTCCATCATACTACGTAGGTCATTGATTTGCTCTTGTAATCTTGTAGTATGCATTACCGTTGGTGCTTTAATTTCATCAGCACTGATTTTTTCTGTTAACCGCAATTATAATCCCGCTCTCGTACCAGCTGTAGCTAACCTCTTTTCACGCAGTATAACTTTTAGTTGATCAATTTTTAATTCGCTGATTTTCGGCATCGTTAATTCTTTGTTAGCGTTAAACGTATTCGTAATTATACTATTTTTTAATTTAGTTGTCTTTTTTTTTTATTCACAACGCCGTTAACATTTTATGATCTACTTTAATTTCGTTTTCGTTGTTTCACTTTCATTTCGTACACATTTTCTTGTTCTTGCTCCTCTCAAGTTTGTTTGCTTATTTGTCTCTTCCGCACTCACTAATCACGATTAGTTTTGCAAGTAAATTATGGTTACGAGAATTTCACAACTTTTCCGTTTGTTGCTTGTACAAAATATAACTATTGAAGCGCTAGGGCTGCTGCACTCTTATGCATAAAATTTGTCCGTAGTTCAACACATTTTTACCTATTATCCCACTTCTGAACTGTAAAGTAAATATTACAAATATCTAACAATTTTTTATTTGTGTTAAGCTATTAAATATTAAAGTATATAATCAAATACGAATTCCGCGAATTACTGCGCTCGACGTGTCGTTCCGATGCGAGCTAAATGACAACTACTTACTTTCATTGTCGTTTCGATGCATACCAAACTGTTCCCCCTCAACAGGGTGATCTTCATTCACACATTGAATAAATAATACATTGTGACCGAAAAGTTTCCGGAAAATTTTAAATAAAACGCAAAATTCTTAATCTTCATCAATATTTATTTTATCTCCTTCAAAATATGCTCCATTAGAAGCGATACACAAATGCCAACGTTTCTTCCAATCATCAAAACATTTTTTATAGGCGCTTTCCGGTATGGCTTTGAGTTCCCTCTGCGAATTCTGTTTTACGTCTTCTATGGATTCAAAACGCGTTCCTCTGAGTGGTAATTTGAGGTTGGGAAACAGGAAAAAGTCACACGGTGCAAGATCAGGTGAATACGGTGGCTGTTCGATGGTATTTATTGAATGTTTGGCCTTAAAATCGTTGATAATGTTGAACAAATTGAGGTGAATCGGAACAAGCCGGGCGTTGACACGTCGCATACACAAATTGTCCACCAAAATCAAACGAGCCATCTCACGACCGATGCCTAGCTCTCGTGCTATCTCTCTAACACTCACATGAGGATTTTTGAACACGATTTCCTTTGCCTTTTCAATGTTTTCGTCGGTGGTAGAGGTCGAAGGTCGTCCAGAACGCGGCATGTCTTCGACGGTCGTACGACAGTCCTGAAAGGCTTTGTACCACTCATAAACTTGAGTTTTCGATAAAACTGATTCCCCATAAGCCTTTTGTAGCATTCGCAACGATTCTGCACACGAAATTTCGTTCGAAAAACAAAATTTGATGCAAACTCTTTGTTCAATATTTTTTTCCATTGTTTTTTTCGCAACGCACTACTGAGGTGAACTGGTTTCAACAGCTGCCGTAAACGAACTGTCCGACAGATCGCGCTCATTTTTGGCATAGTATAATTAAGGACAGTGCTGCCAAACTACATAAACTTAAAATATCGAAAAATATACAGCGCGCGAATTTTAAATGAGAATTTCCGAAAGCTTTTCGGTCACAATGTAAATAAATAATAAAAATAAATAATAAAAAAATACAACAAGATCGAAGGTTATCAGAATCTAAGTACTCGAAAGACCCAAATCACCAAAAAAATTGAAATAATGCTAAACAAAGAGTGTCTCCTAAACCAGACGTTGCTAAACGAAGGAGAGACTACCACCGAGCGAGAAAAAATGCACATCAGACACAAAAAAATTCATAATGGAAAAGGTGTTCAGAATCGTTTAGAGAGTACCTTGCCTTGATCCTTCTAGAGGTGCTTCCCAAATAAAAAAAATCCGTAGCCCTCAAGTACCACAGTTTTCAGACTCAACACTTTTCATTTGAATAATTCATTCAGTGCTTCTTACTTCTTGTGTGAGCGACATCATTTCGCTCTTCCAATATAAATCGATAATATATTAGACGTAATACAGAAGAATTGATACAAATCTTAGAAAATATTGATAAGAAAAGGCACGTAGTTTAAATGGCATAAGGAATGTCGCAATTAAAAGTGAACCTATACCTCAAAATTCTCCATTGATTTTTTAGAAAACATCTTCCTTCCTCTTCCTGGAAACGTCAAAGCATCTTCTTTTTTTTTAAACGGGGCAAACAGCCAGAACAAACACTATTGTATTTCAACCCTGTATAAGGCGACGCGAATAAGGTCTTTTATTAAAACACAATTTAATTTTTTTTATTTCTTATCAAATTAAAAATATAATTAATTGTCAGCACAAACAACACATTTTTTTTGTTTTTTTGTTTTTTTTTTGTTTTTTTTTGGCCGAGGTAGAGAAAATAGTGTTGTTGTTTTGCGTACATTTCGGCCAGTATAGGCCAGCAACTTGCTATTTTTTGAAGCACTTGCGAGCCACCGAAAATGCCTAATATTATTGTTTGTGTAGGAGCTAAGAATGCTATAAATTGATTTCTTTCCTAAAATCTTATTATATTAATTATTCATCAGTTTTTAGTTATCTTAGAATATATATACGAGTATTTATTGATTGAGGACATATAACTCGTGCAATATTTCGTTTTCGAAGGTTATATAATAACCGATAAAATGCTCGTTTATATATCGTAAAGAAATCATTTTAGAAATAAATGCTGAAAATGTATAATTTTTCAAATTTCAGAGACTACAAGTGTTCGCGAAAATATTACTTGAAGAATATTTTTTTAATTATTTTTAAATACTTTATTAGGGAAAATTACAGAAAAAATTGTTACAGCAAAGTTTGTAAAAAAACAATACATAATGCAATATCAGTGTTAAGTTAATACAAAACAGTATTGCGCAACATTTAATTTGAAATTTATTTTATAGAGATAATGAGCCGTTGATGGCCTTTAAGCAATTTGAAGACAAACTTAATAACGAAAATTTAATAAATACAAAGTATATTAAAGAAGATCTAACAGAAAAGTGGCGACACATAGTCGTAGAATACCAGTTTGTTCAAAATCTTTTTGAAGATATATGTCGGAAATATTTCCGTCTTCAACTGAAGAAAAATCAAGAGGTATTCGCGAATTTGTTTCTAAACATGTAATAAAATGTTTATATTTTATAGATTCAGGATTTGAATGATGCTTTAAATTATGCTTGCGATTGCATTATAACTGCGCAAACTATGTTCTACAATTCAAGAAAAAAATGGAGGAATAAAGATCTATTCTATAAGAAATTATCTGTGTTTATAAAATCATTACAAACATGCAAAACTAAATATACTTCCAAGTTTTATACATAGAATTTTAGAAATAAATATTTAATACTGAAATATTTAACATGCATTATCGTAAATTAGTACATTATCGTAAATGTTCCCATATGGATAGTCATTTTATAACAATCATTTTTCATTGCGTTACCAACGCAACACAGACTTATCAACGATAAGTCTGTTGCATGCTAACCAAAATTGTTTGCCCATTTAAGTCCATCACACAAAATACAATATCATATCCTTGAAATAGAAATCATATACTGGTAAACTCATAGTCTCCAACGTAAGCCCACCGAAGAGAGTACACCTCTTGCTAGCAATTCCTTGTAGTTAAAATTGATCTTAATACTCCTCCGAGTTGATTTATATCGTTTAACCTACAATTTAGAAAATTCATTGTTGTAGCTAACATGGATATACCCTAATATATGGATAGGATATCCCATATGAATAGAAGTCCCTTCTGGGGACTTGTATAAAAGTTCCCCAACGCTTGATACAATCTTTCATAACGCGTTTTTTCAAAACGCGTTCCCCGTAATGGCAGTTTGAGTCGGGGGAAGAGGAAAAAGTCACACGGGGTCATATCTGGAGAGTACGGTGCTTGGTTGATGACATTGGTGGAGTTTTTGGCCAAAAACTGCGACACAACCAACGCTGTGTGAGCCGGTGCGTTATCGAGGTGTGAAATTCATGAGTTTTCCTTCCATAAATCTGGGCACTTTTTGCGAAAGACCTCATGCAAATGACGCATAACGGCCAAATAATACACCTTATTGATCGTTTGACCGTTTGACCGTCCGGAAGGAATTCATAGTGCACCACACCACGAATATCGAAGAAAACAGTCAGCATAATCTTGATTTTGGACCGACTTTGGCGTTCACTTTTCGATTTCAGCTCACCTTCAAAGCACCATTCGGTCGATTGTTGTTTGGTGGGCATGTCAAATTCATAGAAGCATGTGTTATCACCAGTTATGATACGTTCGATGAATGTGGGGTCACTATCTGCGTTGGAAATCATCTCTTTGGCCACATTTCAACGACGCTTTTCTTGCATGAAATTCAGTTTTTTTGACACCAGCCGAGAAGCGAGGCGTTTCAAACCCAAAACATCAGTTAAAATGTGTTCGGTCGATCCATATGAGATGCCCAACAACACCGTAATCTCTCTAATCGGTTCACAACGATTTTTCGGCACGATCTTCTACGCCGATTCAATGTTTTCTTCAGTAACAGATGTTGTTGGGCGGCCAGGGATGTCATCATGGTCCAAGATTGTACGACCGTCTTGGAACCTTTTACACCATTCGTATACTCGCGTTTGCGACACATACAAATCACTAAAGGTCTTTTTTAACATTTTCAATGTTTCGGCACACTTGAATCCATTTGCAACAAAAAATTTGATTCACGCACGTTATTCTAATTTTTGACCCATTTTAAAAATCGCTACACGAAAATTTTTCGACTTTTTCTATAGACACCAAACAAAAACTAACCATACGATATGCGTTAAACTTTGACAGAATGTGCATAATAGTGTCGCCAGCGTGAAAATAAAAAAAATCATTCCTTTTTGATCACAAGGTTTATAAAATTATTTTATTTTAGCTAATATTAATGTAACATAGATATCAATGTCATTATACCTGATTAAAACAAACAATTGAATGTTCCCAAAATTGGACCCAAAATTATTATTGGACCCAAAAAATTTTTAAAAAAACAAACATAAGCGTGGGCGATCTAGCAGCAGCGCAGAAACAAAGAATATCTTCACTCCGGCCTTCCGTGCATGTTGCTGATTATTTAATAATTGAGTCATTGAGACTCTATAATATTTTTACTCAATGATAAAAGATTATCAATTTTGTGAAATTATAGTCGTCCAACTCGTAGCATTTGACGCCATCAATTGTCATCAAAACTCGTGAGGACATCAGTGAATTATTCAAAAGATTTTGGATCGTTTGATGAAATTCCACGATGGCACATAAGCACAGTAGAAATGTCTTCTTCTAAATCATCCAAAATGTCACTTATTGCATTGCATCATTACTATCAATTTCTGAAATTTGTATGAATATAAATGTGCTGCTATATGTTATTAAAAATATAAATGCACAAATATAAATTACCCATTAATTCCGCAACAGCAAAATCCAGTATACAATATATTTTCATTTTTACTTTTTTTTGGCATTGTTAAATACGTAAACAAAATGTAGCTGTTCTAAATATTTTCATGACTAAAATGCACAAAGTGTACTCACGATTATTGAGTTTGCAATGATGCACATTCTACAATGCACAGACATCCTGAATACCCCTATTCTTAACAGGCGAATAAGCGATTTTGCAGCTCATTAGCAAATTTATTTTTAGAAATTAAAAATTAAAATGCACAGGGATATATATATGTTAACTATATAAGAATTTTTGTGAATATACCCATGTAATATTATTTTTTAAATAAGAAAAAATTTAACGAACATTTTTATTTTTATCCTAAAACAGTTATCATATGTATATCTGAATTTGTTTTCGTTAGCAGAACAACAGTAGTAAAAAGATTTTAAAGTCGATATTTTAATTTTAATTTATGGCATTTTGTGAATTAAGGAAACTATTAAAATATATACATGTTATCGCTCTCTCTCACTTTGTCGGGTTAGGGCCATGTTATACAGAGTGCCTCGGGCACGGCAAATTTCGCTCTTTCGAGCTATGCCGAAAATGCATGTTATGCAGAGTGTCACATCAGTATTGCAAATTTCGTACTTTTACAATGTTTTGATACTTTTTGGTTGTGCCTAAATTTAAAAGGAAATTTAGATATGCTCACTTTCAATTTCCCACCAAAAATAACTAGCAAGAAAAACTCATAGAGGCTGTAATAATGTTAATTTGTTATTACGTTATCTTACAATAATTGTTAACAGTACTTAACAATATTTACGCCTTTCTTTAAAACTGGAAAAAGTAATAATTATATTATTAGCGATTTATAAACAAAGGATATGTTGCTTACTGCCATTTTTTCTCCAAAACGTATTAGAATTGTAGTAATTTGCTCCTAAAAGGCGCAAATGTTAAAATTTATTACTAAACAACACTGTTTTGCCTTAGTGCCGGGGCACAAATACGCCGGCTCTCATGCCGGAGTTTGAATGGCCACATTGTATTTTTTCTCATTCTCAAATTTAAAATTTGCATTAAAAACAATAACAATTGTACTCATGCCGTGCCCGAGACACTCTGCGTAACATGGCCCTTAAATGTAAAACACGAAATCTTTTGTAAGAGACAAGAATAGAGATGAAAATAGATTTTAAGTTATAATCTGAGCAAGCTTTAAGTAAAAAGCTTTATTTGTAAGCTCAAACTATATGGATATAAAAGTAGGAGCATTGCTCACTTAGATTAGATTCCTGTACGGTTGCAACACAACTACATGTATATGTTATTCATTTAATAAATATTTTTTTTTAAAACTTAACCGGACTTTCAATCTCATTAATTGGCGCTCGAGCAGGGACCGGGACCTTGATAAAAAGTGCAATTCGGAAAGTGATGGAAGTGCTGTTTGAATAAAACATTTGATGAACTGTAAAGTGAATTACATAGTTGGTGTAAAATTAAAAGTAAAAAAAAAAATTTTTTTAATCACAAAAAGCCAAATTTAATAACAAAAAATCGCACAGTCACGAATATTAATTTCAAGACATTAAAATAATTTAACGAGAAAGTGACTTTATATAATCAGCCGTTTCAAATAAATTATTCATTTGCTGCCAACTGGACAGCATATAACCCAACCACCAACAATCAAGTATCCTCATCATCATGAGAAACGTGAGTTAGAATTTGAAAAATTTTTTTCTTATATGAAAAAATCAAATTAAATTATTGTCATTGAATTGCCATCGTGAAGAAAAAAGCGAACATAAATTATATTAAAATTTTTTTTATTAATAATATTAAATATTATATTATTGAATAATATTATATTAAAAAAATTACAATATTTTGAAAATATTTTTTTCAAATATATTGAATTTTAAACTATATTGAAATTATATTGTTAACCACCTTTAAGTCTGGAAGAACTAATAGGGAAATTTTCAAACATAACTACAAACGATAACGCAACTTTCACTTCAGACTTAGTAACACGTCTTATAGCTGCCAATGCAGCGACGTTAAAATTAGAAATCAACAGACAAATACAGACATTAGTCGATGGCAACACCGTAACGGAATACAAAACTGAAACAATAGACGAGACTATATGCTGTGACGAAACTTTAGACGTAATCAAAAGTTTCCCTTCAATTTAACGGTAAAGACGGCTCTTCCGTGAGCAGGCGTGAAGCCGTAATAATTCTGTTAGTCTATACACCCGCGGTAGTAGAAAACACTTTGCCGCTTTAACCACTCTTCGAAATAAGATAACCGATGACGCTAATGACGTATTGACCAACCACGGCACTGTTTTGAATTTTGATTCAATAATGAGTAAATAAGACTTAGCTTACGCTGATAAGCGACCAATACATATAATCGAACAAGAATTATGTATCCTAAGACAAGGCTCAATGACAATTTTGGACTACTATAACGAAGTAAATAAAAAACTAACAATGCTGATAAAAAAAACTATAATGACATACAATAATAGTAGCCCTCTAACCGCAGAATTAAACAAAACGCATCGGGAGAACGTTAGACGAATATTTATAACAGGATTGAATCATCTAACGTCTTATTTTCTCTTTCTCAAACCAACTACGTACTAACTTCGCACTTATGTTTAATAGAAATGCGAACCCAACTCAAGTAAATAGACAGCAGAATAATCCACAATGCCCCCAAATTCCGATTAATAATAATAAAAGTTATTTCCCGAAACCAGAACCGATAGAAGTACATCCATCGATGAAAAGTAATCAGTGACACAGTATCAACAACCGAGACCACGGTATCAACAACCAAGACATCAAAGCAATTTCTATAACCCGAATCCTATAAGTACCCCAACT